AAAATTATAGATAAGTAAATAAGTAGGTAGAAAGAAAGGTAGGGGAAGATAAAGCAAATGTGGTAAAAATATTCATATTTAGAGAATCCGGGTGAAGAATATACAGGAATTCTTTCTACTATTCTTGCAACTTTTTTGAAAGATTGAAATTATGTCAAAGTAAAAAGTTAGAAGAAAAAGAAAGCAAGAGTCAGAGCAGGGATGGCATCCTGGGGTGAGTGTTAATAATACAATCAGTTCCTGTTCATTGCCCTGTCCCTCAGGTACCAGACTGTGCTGTGGCTTCGTGTGTGTAACTTCACTCTGTCCTCACTGCAGTCTATGTGGAAAAAGACCACTATGGCCCTATTTCACAGATGCAAGTTAGAAAGGTGAAGGGGTTTGCTCCAGGCCCCTAAACTCCTGGGGGCAGTTCTTAGACTCAAAACCAGGCTCTCTGACTTCAAGGTCTGAGCTTAGCCTTGCCCCACTGTTGACTCTGACCTCCACAGGAGAGTGGCAACGGGCAGGACAAAGGCATTTCTTCCTGGAGCAGTAGCACAGTGAAAGCCCTGGGATAGACGCAAATAAGATCCATTTGCAGATGGAAAGGAGTAGTAGTCAAGGATTCTGCAGAGAGCAGATCTGCAGTGGCAGGCAGGACACACTGGCACGTGGGAGGGGGCCTCAGATGCTGGATGGAGTTGCCAGTGGTGGCCGCAATGGCCTACAGCAGGGGAGCCGTAGGGTATAGCCTGGAGTGACCTGGGCTAACTAGGGTAGACATTCTGGGGTAGAAGACTTGCTTTGGAGGAACTCGCTGGGGGGCAGTGGGATTGCTCCACAGCCAGACTCAGGCCACTGTCCAAGCTGGAGGCCCAATGGGACTGGGAGCCTGTGGTAGAAGACTTGGCAGTTTGGAAAAGTCCATGTGCTGGATCCAAGGGGCAGCCGGACTGTGAGCAATAGGTGGGCAGGAGTTGCTGAGCACTCGGGTCTGGCCCAGCAGACAGCTGTGGGGGGTCCAGTGAAGAGGAGGGCTCCTCTTCCAGCTGGAGGTAGGGTGTAGGAGGGGCAGAATGACCTCTGGCAGTCCCTCCAGTCACTGGGACTGTCTGGCTGTTCCCCAGATTAAAGAGCTGAGGGTAAGTGTCTGGCAGCTGGATGAGTCAGACTGGGAGGCTTCTTTCCGCAGCCTGGCCGCTTCCTTCTACATCAGCCCTGCCCGTGGGAGAGGTGGGGGTGGGAGTTTGGTCTCTCTCCTCTCAAATGTCACCCCCACCCTGGGATTTGGGGTGACACATGGGCTGAGTGAACTGGTTTATTTTGTTGGGCCTGGCGTGTGCATCTGAGCGAGTGCCCAGGCGGGCATGAGTGTTGGTGCAAACATCGCCCATTGTAAAATATCAGTGTTTTCATGCGTGAGTAGTAATTACTAGGTAATGCTTTAAAACCTTTCCTGAAGGAGCGCAAAGCTGTTTTTTTTCTAAAGTCAGGAGTACATTAAAAGGATTACCATGTAGATTTGATTTTTAGATAACACTAAAATGGATCCCAAATGGACTTCAGCAAAGGGATGCTATCTCCTTAATGGAAAGTGCATGGCCCCGAGGCTCAACTCCCAGAGCCAGGCGGGGGAGGGGGAGGGAAGAGGTGTCTGCAGGGGGCAGGCTGGCTGGGCTAGGAGGCAGGCAAGGAGTGAGAGCCCGGACCCTCTGGACAGCGCCCCCCTTCATTTGGGGGGCAGGAGACTGTGGATGCCCTCCTAAAGGCCCTTCTCTCCAGGAGTGTTTTCAAGTCTCCTGGACTATCCCAGCAAGAGAAACACAAGTGTGGGTGCTCTGTAAGGAAGGAAGAGGTGACTCCATTGCCTGTTTGACCCCTGAGCTCTTCCACCCTCCTGTGAGAAACACGGGATGGTTTCAATTTTCCTTATTGGGCAGGAGAGGGAACTAAGGCCCAGAGAGACCAGGGGATCTGCTCTGGACCATAGAGCCAGACGCTTGCAGACTTGGAGTCCAGTCCCAGGTCCATTCCACAGGCATGTTTGGGGTGAGGCTTCCCCCAGCACTTCAGCCTTTCCAGGCAGAGAAAGCTCAAGGGTTCCTCGGTGCTCAGGGGCCTCTTCAGCCAGGCTGGTCCTGGTTTCCATTAGTGGACATGGGACACTTTGGCAGAAGCCACACAGCTTCTATAAGAGTTTTCCAGAGCCCAGGAATCAGGGTTCAGCACCCCAAAGGAGGGGTGTCCAGGCCTTACAGATAACCTGTATGTGCCAGACTTAGCCTGGATGGGCACAGGCAGGGGGAGGGACACCTGGGGCTGCTTGTGGCTTTGCTCCTCATGACTTCCACGGGGTGCTCTAGGTGCCAGGTCCCACTAGTGATGGGCCCTGCAGGCTCTGTGGCCAGGTATGCTGGGGCCTAAGCTTAGGCCAGCCTGTCCAGGAGTCAAGCCAGATGGAAGAGGGAGGGGACAGGTGCTCCTAGTGCTGGGGTCTCCCACTGTCCCCCATCATTGTGGCTTATGACTTAGTGGGCTAAGTGTATTCCCTGTGTATGGATGCTCCAACCACTCACACACCCTCCAGGAGTAGCATGAGTATAGGGCCCTAGGAGGGGCTGGGGACTGCCAGGAAGGGACCCAGGCCTGCTGCAAGCCCAGATGAGCAAGGGAACATCAGCCTTGTGGGGGCTGCACCAGAAGCCTGGCCTGAGGTTTTCCAAGTTAGTATTTATATGCAATATCTGTGCTGGCTGGATGCTACCTCCACAAGCCCCAGACCTCCCCCAAATTCAGCCGTTTTAGCCCATTCCCCATTTTCCACACTTTGTACCTCCTTGTAGGTCAGGCCTTGGAAGGAGCCTCACAGCTGCCTCCCCCCCCCCCCCCCCCCCCCCCCCCCCCCCCTGGGGACTGCCAGGAAGGGACCCAGGCCTGCTGCAAGCCCAGATGAGCAAGGGAACATCAGCCTTGTGGGGGCTGCACCAGAAGCCTGGCCTGAGGTTTTCCAAGTTAGTATTTATATGCAATATCTGTGCTGGCTGGATGCTACCTCCACAAGCCCCAGACCTCCCCCAAATTCAGCCGTTTTAGCCCATTCCCCATTTTCCACACTTTGTACCTCCTTGTAGGTCAGGCCTTGGAAGGAGCCTCACAGCTGCCTCCCCCCCCCCCGCGACCCCCAGTCTCCCAGGGGTGCTGTGACCAGGCAGCGCCGTGCTGGAGGAGACATAGGCAGGCCTGAGGACATGAGCCCCATCACTCTCCCAGACCAATTAACCTTTAGAGCTGCATTAACGAAATTAGGCAGCAAACTTCCCAGCTAACAGACAGGCCCTGTGGGCACTGGAGGAAGGAGGGAGGAGAGAGCCCTCTGACCTCTGCCCACTGCAGCCTGGGCGTGCCCCTCCCTGCCTTCACCTGTCCTGCTGGTTTGGGGCTTGGGAGGGCCACCCTGGCCCAGAGGCCAAGCCCCTCTCCAAGAGAAGTCTGGGAAGGCAGCACGACTGAGAAAGAGCGCAGGACAGGGGAAGGGGCCCCAGGGTCTGTTTGATCAGTGGCCTATACTAGTGCCTCCCACCATCTGGGCCTGAGTTTCCCCATGTGTAGAACGAGAGCATTTGACTGGAAGAACTCTGAGGGCCTCTCTGACCTGACATCTGTGGCTTCTGAGACTGAGGCCCTTTGATGGCTGGTTCAGCGCAGTAGCCAGAGGAGGCGCCGCACGAGAGGGGGCAGGGGGAAGGGCAGTGGGCAGGAATGGGAGGGCAAGCAGGGGATGGGGCCAGATTCTAGAGCCCTGGAGGGATCAGGGGCACTTGGAGAGGATGGGGCCAGTAGGAGGACAGACTCCAGGGGCTAGTTGGAAAGCCAGGGAGGCAGAAGAGGTGGGCTCCAGGGTCGACCCATCTGTCCAGCTGCGCCTCGGTCAGGGGACAGGGAAGGAACACCCTCTGCCCTGTGTCTTCCCGAGGGCTGCTCAGGTAACCCGCCCCACACTTCCCTCTGAGCCTAGTCTTCTCACAAGGCCACATGGATGTCCAGACTCCTAGATGATGTCCGTCCTCATCTTCTCAACTGTCTCTCTCTGTGGCCCCAGGGGAAGGGACCAGGAGACCGTGCCTCTGTGTATATCCACGTGATGCCTGCACCTTGTGCCTGTGTACGTGGGGTGTACGTGGGTGCCCACACTCGCCTGCTGGGAGGCTCTGCCCCCTCCCCTTGTACTTGGTGCTTTCCTGTATGTTGGGAAGCTTGTATGGGACCTGAGAGGGGGCCAGTGGCTCAGAGACTCTTATCCTGGTAGGATGAGCAAGGATGCAGGGGCTGGGAACCTTCCCTCCCACAGGCCGGGGCAGTGGGAAGTTTGACTCTAGCCGAAGCATTCCCGAGCAGAACCCCAATGAGGCCAGGCCCAGCCGCCTCCCCTCAGCGGCCAGGAGCTCCAGAGCCTTCTGCTCCCTGCTGGGAGGGTCCCAGGGGCATCCGCCTTTCTTCTGGACACATCTGCAGTTCTACATGAACAGACCAAGAGGCTGTAGGCTACTCAGGTTGAAATGGATGAGGATGACTTGAGTTGGCAAAAAGATCTGGGGGCTCTAGTGGACTGCAAGCACATTGTGAGACTCCATTCTTAGGCCTATTGCTGAAAGAGCTGATGGGATGGTGGCTGCAGGAGGACGGCTTCAGGTGTCTTCTGGATCATACTGCACAGGGGGCAGTGCTGGGATAGGGAGGAACAGCTCAGGGAGGCTGGGCCTGAGGCAGTATGTGCCCTGGAGGAGAGCAGACTCAGGGCAGCCTCTGGAGGGACGGTCACAGGGCCAGGGGAACAGGTTGTGCCATGTAGCCCAAAGGGCAGGACCCAGGGCTGGGGGAGGAGGTTACCAAGGAGAGAGTGAAGAGCCCCAAACCTAGAGGGGACAGTGGAGAGGAGTGAACCCCCATCCCTAGAGGGATGTGCCCCAGGCCCAGAGCCGCAGGGCCCATTCTGCCAGCCTCTGTCTGTCCGCCCGCAGGCGTGCCGATGCTCTCCGTCCAGCCCAAAGGGAAGCAGAAGGGCTGCGCGGGCTGTAACCGCAAGATCAAGGACCGCTACCTGCTGAAGGCTCTGGACAAGTACTGGCACGAAGACTGTCTCAAGTGCGCCTGCTGTGACTGCCGCCTGGGCGAGGTGGGCTCCACCCTCTACACCAAGGCCAACCTCATCCTGTGCCGACGCGACTACCTGAGGTGGGCCTCTGCCACCCACCCCGCCCAGCCCTAAGCACCTGTCCTCCAGGGCCCAGTGTGACTCTGCTGTTGGCTCGAACCCAGCACCCTGTGTGCGAGGCCCGCATGTCCACTCATTCCTGATTATCCTGCCCCTGCCCTGCTTACCCCAGACCCGAGGAGCTGCCTGAGGGCAGGGCCGTGTCTTTAACTCCTTGGACTCAGTGCCCAGCACAGGGCCAGGGCAGGCATTTTCCCCGGGGCACTGGCCTGGCTCTGTCTCTGCCTTTGCCAGGTGCTTCTGACCCACCTGTTCCTGGGAGGGGACACCTCAGAGGGGCTTCGAGGAGCAGGTGGGGAAGCTCTGACTTGCCTGGGCCCTTCTTCCCTGAGGAAGTCTCCTTCTCACCTCTCTCCCAGTGCCCACCCCCTCCCTTTCCAGGTGGTCCCATATGCCTAGGGTGCTTGGCAGGTAGCCTGCCCTAGGAGAGCTTAAAGACCTGGGTTTGAATTAGCTCTGAGTCTTCAGCTTCTAACCTTCCCTGAGCCTCAGTTTACTCCTCCTTGAAGGGGTGGAAAGAAGAATGCTTCCCTGCCTTGCATTCCTCAGTCTGGCTCACCCTCCCCCACAACCCAGATCCTGTTCCTTGGGGCCGCCTCCCCCAATTAACCCTCCCTTAGGCCACTTATGACATCAGCAAGGTTGGAAGGAGGCCACAAAGCAGGGGCCTTGGCTGAGACCCAGAACCTGCATTTGGCTCTGTCGCAGGCTGCTGGATGGTGGCCGGACCCTGTGGGGAAGGAAGCCCTGTCGCATTAATTAACAGGTCGGGGCAAGGGCTTAGTGGGGCTCCCTCTGCTTGGGTCTTGGCATGTTGGGGGGGGGCAGGGTTATCAGTGGAAGCTCCCCTACTTCCCCAAAGAGACTGAGATTCACCTGCCTGCATCTTCTCTTTTAATTCCTGCCTTTTGCAGAAGTTTTAAAAAGTGATGCAATAAAATAGGATCTCCAACTTAGTGCTCTTGGCCAGGACTGGAGGCGAGAGGCTGAGACCAGGAGGAAGGGTTAAGGAAGGATGCTCTTGGGGATTTATCCCTTGAGGACCCAGAAGGGGCCTCCAAGTCTGGAGGTTTAGAGCATCCCTTGAGGGAGGGAGAGGTGGCAGATCATCCAGTGGATCCACAAGACTTGGAGAGGGAGGACCACGGTGCAGATGGGCTTGGTGGGAGAGCCAAAGCACCCACAAGCGTTCTGAGCCCTGCTAGCTGTGAGGGGCTGAAGTTATTTTCCTGCACTCTGGCAGAAGTGAGGAATGACTTTTGGGGCCAGGTAGGCCAGTGTGCCGGGATGGGGGTGTGGCTTCCCTGAGCTACTCAGCCGCTGAGAATGACTGTCCAGAGCCTGCACCTTCTGCAGCAATTGCACACTGTGCTGGTGGCAAGAAAGGCCCCTCTTGGCAGGCAGATGCTGTCACCCAGCCTTTGTCTGCCTTAATCTGAGCCACCAGGCAGCTCAGACTGATGAATAATGGAGCCAAGCTCGTCTGCAGGCAACTGAGCTTGAGCTGGACAAATCGGGGATTAGAGGGGCCTCCCTCCCACTTCTCAGTCCCCTTGCCTCACTTGGGGCTTGCTCCGTCAGTGTGGAGGAAAGAAGCAAGGAGGAGCCTGGTTGGCTCAGACCATTGGAACATCCAGCCAAAGACTGGCCTGCATGGGGAGGGATCAAACTCTCTGTCCATAGAGCTTTGCACCAGCCAGCAGCTAAGAGGAAGCTTGCCTCAAAGAGGCATTTGTGCCAGGTGTCCTTGGAACTTCCTATGGACATCAGTTCTGTTTTAGATCCATCTTCGAACAGGATCATCTGTTCTAGCATCCCCATTTTACAGACGGATAAACTGAGCTTCAGAGAAGGGAAAAAGGGACTTAGGCAAGTGGCACAGTGAGTTTGTAATGGAAAAAGGATTTAATAAAAGAGTGTAATTTTAAAGGTGGGGAGTCAGCATCCTTCAGTGGTTTAGAGCTTACCCTCTGGAGCAAGATCGTATCAATTGACAAGTTGTTTACCTCTCTGTGACTCATTTTTCTTATCTTTAAAATGGGGGATAATAATAGTATCCATCTCAAAAGACTGTTGTCAGGATTATATGAGTTCATCTTTGTAAAGCTCTTAGAACAGTACCTGACACATAGTAAACACTCCCTAGATGTTTGCTAAATGAGTTGTGACTGAGGATTTATAACATTTTTTCATAACCCTGTGAAGGGTCTATTTCTGTCTTTGTTTTACAGTTGAGGTAAATGAGGCTCAGAGAGACTAAGTGACTTGCCTGAGGACACACAGCCCATGATTGGTAGACTGTCTCTAGAATTCAGGCTTGTGTGAGTCTGGAGCCCTTGCTCAGCCCAGCCTCGTGATCTCCAGGTGTCCCGAGGTGGGCAGTGAGAGCTTGTGAGGGGGCCTTGGGATGGGCAGTGTTAGCCAATCCCTACACCCTCTCCCTGAAGGGATGTGCCAATTTCTCTGAAGCCTGATCTCTTGGCAGAATCTAAATGCTGCCATCAATGCTTTCACCCCCTGGCCCAGGCCCACCTGCTAAGCCCACAGAACTGAGGGATGGATAGAGGCAGCTCCCTGGCAGTCCCCTGAGTTCTCTGTGCCGTTCCCTCGGCAGGCTGTTCGGCACCACAGGAAACTGTGCTGCTTGCAGCAAGCTGATCCCAGCCTTCGAGATGGTGATGCGGGCCCGGGACAATGTGTATCACCTCGACTGCTTCGCCTGCCAGCTCTGCAACCAGAGGTGAGTGCTGGGCTGGTAGCGGTCCCCAGCCTGAGGCCTCCTGGGACAGGGTAGGAGCGCTGTATGCACATGTGGGTTCTGTGTGGGTGCGGCTGGGTGTGCATGTTGTCATGAGCATGCATGTGCATGTATGTGTGTTTTGTGTGCCCGAGCCCTGTAGCCGAATGTGTATACTCCAGTACTGGGTGTGCACATTTGTGTGGCACACTTCTATGTGAACGTCATGGATTGGCGGTATGCAGGAGTTACTGTGTGTGGATAGCGTGAGGTGCATGTGTGTGTATTTTTAAATGTCCGCACACAGGTATATGTGCATGATGGAGTTAATATGCACATGTACATGGGTTTTTAAACGTCCATGTACAAAGGTGTGTGTGTGTGTTCTGTGTGTGCATGAGGCAAATATGCATGTGCACACACTTTAAATGTGCATGTATGAGGGGATGAGGGCTGATGTATTCTTGTATCCTTGTGTCCCTGATCCTTGTGTGTATGTGTGCATGTACATGCATGTGCCTTTTGATGAGAAGAGGTTCCCAGACCTGGTGGGTGAAATTCCTTCAAGGAGTGGCCACTCACTCCTGACCCCACCTCTGTGATTCTGGTTCCAGTCCAGCCTCTTGTCTGGTCTTTTGGGCCCTACTCTGTGCCCCTGCCCTGTGGGAAGCCCCGGCGACCTAAGGAGCCAGAGCCCTTCAGCCCTGGCTAGGGTCTAGCACCAGAAGGCAGGCCCTTTTCTCAGGAGCCCCTGGGTCAAGTAGGAACTCATACAAGTATGTTCCCGGAGGTCAAGGTCCAGAGACTTGGCAGGGAACTCCTGTATGGCTGGGGGGTCTGGCCAGATGCATTGCTAGGAGGGCTTGGTGAAGTTACAGCGCCACCTGGTGGTTCAACTGGGATCTGCTGGTACTGGGCCAGCGACCCTGGGGTCTCACTAAAGGCTTCAGACACCCTGGGGACATCTTTGGGGGAAGGACTGGAATCTCCCAATACATGGGGAGGTCTAGGGGACAAAGGCAGGCCTTCCTTGGGTAGGAAAGGAGATAGTGGAACGGGTCACCTCCTGGAAGGATGCTCTGTGTAACCTACAGATTCTGTTTATAGGAAGAATGCCCTTTACTGCCGTCCTCTTAAGGTGGGGAAGGGAACAGAGGGATGGAAAAATTAGCCATTTTATCCCTTCCTCCTTCCCCATCTCTCCCTCTCTCCATCTCTCCTCTCTCGGTCTCTTCTTGTTTCTTTGTCCTCTCTCTTTCTTCCTTTCTGGAACTGGGGTAAGTTATTCCTGTACCAGCCCCCACTCCACAGGGGACCTGCCTGTGGAAGGCCTATGGCTCAAGCTTGACTGTCTGTCTGTCCTACCACCCCAAGCTGCAGGGCTGGCTGGCGGCTGGGCTGACCCAGGGTAATTAACCAGGTTTGCTGTGGGGCTTCTAGAAAGTTCAAGAAGCAAACTCCCCAACACCACCTCCCATGTGACCCACCTCCTGGGCCAGGCTGGGTCCTGTCTGGAGCCCCCACTACCCACTGGGACCCTTCCCATGGCTTCTCTCTCTCTTGCTTGGATTTTCCAGATTTTGTGTGGGAGACAAATTCTTCCTGAAGAACAACATGATCTTGTGTCAGATGGACTATGAGGAGGGGCAGCTCAACGGCACCTTTGAATCCCAGGTGCAGTAACGCCCATTGCCCGGCCTCCAGGCCCGTCTGTCTGTCTGCCCACCTGCCCACCGCCTGGCTGGCCAGCCACTGTCCTGTCACATCAGAACTTCTCCACCCTGGATGGGAGAGACAGCCCTTCCTCCACTGCTGCCACCTGTCTGTGTGTGACCCCTCCTGGGGCTAGGCTGGGCCTGTACAGTCTGTCTTCTGTATATAAATGGGAACATTTATTTTATGAGAAATGTAATGCGATTTTATTACTGGCGTGGATTAAACTTATGAATGTTTCCGGGGAGGTTACTCTGCGTTGTTCACATGACTGACACAGACCTGGGGTCCTCTCCCCTCTGTTGCTCAAGGGATAGGACATGGAGCAGGGTGTGGACCTCCAGCATGTGCTATTGTCAGGCAGAGGAGTAACGAGTTGGTTTCAGGGGGAGGAATCTGGAAGGAAGGGGACAACTCAGGGCTCTTAGACAGAGGTGAGAACTGGAATGTCCTACCCCTCCCTAGCAGAGCATACACCTTGGTCCTGAGTAGGCCCCAAAGAAAAGGGGCAAGCTGAAGCCTTCCCTACCCTGTGTTCCTGTGGTTCATTCCCGTACTGTATACCTGAGACTGACTGCCTAGATGAGGACCCAGCTCTGACCTCCACAGTAGACCCCAAATCCTGAGCCCCTACCATGGGATCACCATCCTGAAACCCATCTTCCCTTTCAGGGTGACAGGCAACATTTGTTGTCTCTGTCCAGCAGCTTGGGCCTGACCTGGGGCCTTACTTTCTGCTCATTTGGGTGAGAACAATCCTATCTCCCTGCAACTCAGTCCATGCAGGCTGGAGATATCCACTCAGTCAGCAAACCTCAATCTACTCTGTCTTAACCCCACGCTGCAAGTGGGGTGACCCAGAGCAAATAGGGCAAGGATGAATCATAGACCAGACACACTCCCTGCCCTTGAGGAGCTTGCTGCGGGGGTGAAAGGCAGAAGCCAGGGAGGGAGGAAGCCAGGAAATTAAAGCATGTTGTGGTGAGGACAGAATGCTGCAGGGAGACCTGGGATAGGCCAGTTCCCTCCAGTGGACAGAAGGCCACTTGTGACAACTCTGGAGTCAGAGACAGACAAGCCAATGGACATACATGTGCCAGCAGACAGGAGAGTGGGACACACTAGACAGGTGTGTAGGCAGAGGCAGGCAGACAGGCAGGTGCTCAGCTCTGGCCAGAAGACAGCCAGAGCCGCTGTCTCACCAGGGAATTTTGCACATACCTGGCTGAGCTAGGTTTACTCAAGGCAGCAAGGATGCTGTTTTGGTCTTGGCTACAGCCACAGTTCTAAGCACAGAGCCTGGAACTGAAAAGATATATCACTGAGTGGTATTAGGAGAGACTCTTTGGGTCCAAAGCCTGGATGGAGAAAGCTGTATGGACAGGCTCCCCCACCATCAGGCCACTTGCTCCTCCTTCCGCAGGGCTTATTTTCACCCTGGCCACAGCTAAAAGCCAGGGGCTGACGGAGCCAGATCGCTGCCTCCAGCTCTGCCTGCTCCCAGGCAGGGAGTGGCTGGCGGGGCTGGGCCCTCGCATCACCCTGCTCCCAGCCTGCTCCTCCACTGTGCAGTGGGAGGGTGGCTGGGTTCTCCTGGGTGCTGGACAAGGCTACTTCTCCAAGTTGTGGTTCTGTAGCCAGCAGCCCAATCCCTGGAAAGGGATTACTAGGGCCAAGGATTTTGGGGTAGGAGTTCTCAATTTTGGGGCCACTCACTTTCTGTGAAGGAGCCACACTCATGGATGTGTGAGAGAACAGAGGCAAGAGCCTGTCGGTACGGCTGCAGTGGGGTTTGTGTGAGACGTGGTCCAAGGGACTGTGAAACTAGAGAGCTGTCCATACGTGGCCACGTGAGATTGTGGAGAAGTTTGAGTACATAGAGACGCAGAGGGCTGGAGTCAATTATGAGGAATTTTCTTGCTCAACTTGAAAAAAGCAAATTATGCTCCTGGATTGTAGCAGAGCCCCCATGTCAGACCCTCCCTGGGTCCTTAGGCCTAGGATGGCTGTGCCCACACCAAGGGCCCCAACTCTTAACTTCTGAGTTTGCTGCAGATAAAGTTGTAACACAAGTTAATTACATGGTTATTGAGAGAGAGCAGAGCCACTTGAATGCTGTTTCTGGGCAATTACAATTGTTTCCAACAGAGTTACCATATTGCAGCCATGAAATAACGTGCCATTCTGCGGTAATTATGTAATTAACTTGTCTCACCACTCTAGGTTGCACAACAATTAATTCACGAACAACGAGATAGACTCAACATCAGGCAGGCAGGGTTTGAAAGCCCCTAAGAGCAGAGCTGGCCTTCTAAGAAGACCCCAGTCCCACTCTGCCCACTCGACTTGTCAGGGGGCTCCCCCAGCTCAACATGGCATGGAACATGCCAGGTCCAGCATCGTGGACCCAGTTATTGCTATCTTACCATCCTCACCCGGGAAATGGGATGATCTGGTTCTCAGGTCAACCATGAGGCTCAGAACTACACCGTGAACTGCTGTGCTTACATGAGCTGGGGTCACTAACCTGGACATCGTGAGGTCCTGAGTAGGAGACTTCTCACTCAGAAAGTTGTGTGTCCGTCCACAGATGCCCTCAAAAAGAGGCCACACAGGCTTGCCTCGGCAGGTGTGAAACTGATAGGAGGGTGGGGGGAAGTGAGACAAGACCACGCTCTCTCCATATCAGGACGACCGAGGCAGGGACAGGAATGGCTACTGGGGCTGGGGATTATGCACCTGAGAGGATTCGCAACGCCCAGGGGTGACCCAGGAAAAGCCTGACCTTCCTACCCAGCTATTGTGTAGGAGAACTTGGTGAAGTGTAGGTCATGAAATGTCTTGGCTTGGTTCTCCATGGGGCTGCAGCCCACCATAGTTGATTGGGGGAAGAGGACAGGGAGAGCAGAGCATAAACCCTTAGAGGCTGCAGCAGCTGGAATCTCAGCCTGGGGCGTGTGGGTGGTGGGGATGTGGACAGGCACCTACCATAGCTGCGCACAAATCCCCTCTACCCCCAATCAGCCCATGGGGCCCATCTCCTCCCCCTACCTTCCTTGGTGGCCTGGTGTCAGAGACACGCTAACAGAGGATGGAGTACTCCCATGGAGTACAGCACCTGCTTATGCCCCCCACTCCTTGGCCTGAAGCTGGACTGCATAATCTGTGTTTGGAAAGAAGTCTGATTCTAATCTTGACACTTCCGCAGGGCCCATCATGAAATCTCACATGGGTCCTGTCTCCTCGTGGCTCTGCTCCCAGAAACCTTGCCCCATATCATGAGACACGCAGGGGCTACAGGTGGAATCATGTGACATTCTTGCCTGGGAGATCTCATCTCTACAAGGAGGTAATTGCTCCCTCTCTTAATGCTGTCAGAGACAGTTTGCAGCCAGAATAACTGAATCTGGCACTAAGTGATGCCCAGACCACCCATTTGGGGCACCAAGTGAGGACAGGCTCAGGAAAGATACAACTGTGTATCACCCTTGATGAAAATGCTAGTGAGAGAATGTTGTCAGTCTATAAGTCAATATTTAGCTATCTATTACCTCTAAAACTAGAATGACCTGAAAATGAATCAATAAAGATGAGCTGATAAGAAGATGGGTTGGTTCAGAAAAATACTTGGTCAAGCCTGGTTTCTCATGAGAAACTAATCAGACGAAACACACACACACACACACACACACACACACACACACACACACACACACACACAGACTTTAGGCTTTCCAAAATGGGTTTTATTCTAGGTTGTTCTAGGTCTTCTCCTTCATGAGAGCTGGTAGAAACCCTCTGTGCTGCTAGTGTTCCCCCAAACACCAGTGTCTCCTCTTCAGACCCTCAGGCTGCATACTACCTGAGGCTTCTAGTGGGTGCTGCCTACACCCCAATTCTCTGAGCTCATGTGCTCTGAGCCAGGACAAACAGCCAGTTTCCCGGGTTGTCCCAGTGGCACTGGGTTTGGCAGAGCTTGTGGCTTTGCAGAAAAAGTTTGAGCCCCTCGGGCGTTCACGAGCCCTTGGGCTGCCTGTGACTCCCAGATTGTGGTCTGCACTCCCTCAAACCCCATACCTTCTCTTCGACACAACCACATTCCAGACAGGAGCTGGTCCAGGGGCTTCTCCCTGGGGCTTTATTTACAAACTCTTGCCTCCTAGGTCTGCTCTGTGCAATGCCATCTGTTGGGGGGGCTGGGGTTTCCCATAGCTCTGGCAAGTTCAGTTTTTTCTTTTAGAGCCCAAAGCTGCTGGGGATCGGAGGCAGTTCCTGGGCCATACCACTTGTTCTAATGAGGAGGCTTGGGGACCACAGAGGCTCTCCACACAGGAGTTAGAGGACTCCTCAGAATCACCCCGACTCCCTGTCTCCTGTCACCTCCCTGATGCCCAAGCCTCCCTGCCCACCTGCCAGCACAGGTTCTGGGTGGAATCAGGGACTGGAGGCAGAGCACTGAGGCAGAGAGGAACAGAGGGAGAGATGAGAGAAAATATGTTGGGGGGAGAGAAACATAGATGGAAATGGATGGGACAAAGGGCAGGGGAGGGAGGGAGGGAGGGAGGGAGAGAGAGAGAGAGAGAGAGAGAGAGAGAGAGAGAGAGAGAGAATGAGAAAAGCATCCTGGAAGAAGCTTCTACCTGCAGGAAGGGTGTGGGGAGGGTGGCCGTAAAGGAAAGGGCAGTGTGATATTCTGGTTAAGATCACATGTGTTCAGACCATAGCTTCTCCACTTGGCAGCTGAACAGCTTGGGGCAGACTAGTCAGCTCTCATCACACAGATGAGGAGTTTCCTCACCTTTAAAGGCAGATGTTGATGGTGCCTACTTCTCAGAGCTGCTCAGAGCATTAGATGCGTCATCACAGGGACAGCGCTCACAGCTGCGCTGGCTCATGACAAGTGCCAGAACATGTAGTTGCTGCTGGGAACATTCACTTTACACAACCAGCACTAGGTCCCCTCCTGCAGGAGGCCTGGCCCACTGCTGCAGCCTCTTGCCTCACCACCACAGGCTGTCCCTGGACTTCTTCATGCTTTCTGGAGAGGGTCATTGTGCCCTGGCATCAGTGGGGGAAACCCAGCCCAGTCAGATAAAGGGGGCTTTCATAAATAAAAACACGCCCAACACGATTAAGCCTCTCAGCAACTCTATATCCATTAAATAGTTGAAAAAATTGAGGCTCGAAGAGCTGTTCTTGCAAGTAATAGAATCTGGATTTGAACTCAGGCCTGGTCTGATTCCAGATTCCAC